AGGATTTATATCATCAACCGAAGAACCCAGCTGGTCAAGGCCTTCGGATGGCTTTGTCCACGGCCATGCTGCGCGACTCCACGGGCTTGGCCTCCATGGGTTTGACCTGGCTTGGGGTTTTGCAGCTTAGGATCTATTAAACTATAGGGTTTGGGGGCTTATAGGGCTTGGGTTTAGGGTTCAGGGTTTAGGTCTACGTTTATAGGGATTACGGATGCTCAGGGTGCAGGTATTGGGTGCGGCTGAGGGCATGCAGTGCAGTCATCGACCATGTCGTCTCCCTCCCTGGCAATAATCCTAATCCCAGGAGTTGGAGTAGCAGACAGTACTCTAGCCGGGGCAGCAGCAGCAGCAGCAGTAGCAGCAGTAGCAGCAGTAGCAGTAGCAGCGGCAGCAGCAGACCTGGCATCAATAGCGGGAGGAGGAAGAGGAGGAGGAGGAGTTGTGGTGGTTGTAGTGATCGTCGCCACAGCTCTTGTAGAAGAGGCGAAAGCAGCTGCAGCACCAAGCGTGCAAGGCCCCTAAACTCAAATGGCCGAACCCGGAACCTTACACCCTAACTCCCCATCCATGAAGCCGAAACCTTACGATGTGGCCGTGCCTGTTTCATCTGCAGCACAGCACTCTGCTGCGGCCTGAAGGGCGGTTCCCAGCAGAAATTGTTTGGACTTCAAGGCTTTGGGCTTTAGGCTTTGCGTATAAGAAGGGTTTGGGGGCTTCGGGACAGCTGAGGGTTTGGGTTGCGAATTTGGGCTTGGACGTGGAGTAGCAGAAGTGGTCGTGAACCTCGAATGTTAGCCAATGTAAACCATATCCTGAACCCGAAATCTTCAATCCTGAACCCTATATAAACCCTGCATCCTAACCCCTAAAACCCAAAAAACGCCTGTTAGGGTCCCCGGCTTGGAGAGCTTGCCCCGCTCATCTTGCAGCCGTGCTATCTCGCGCTGCACACACTGAATCTGCCTCGGACACGGCTTTAGGCTCAGGATTCAGAACGTGGTGTGTGGATGTGTGTAGGGTTCGGGGTCCAAGGCTTGGGACTAAGGGTGTGAACGGGTTTACCACTTCGGGGCTTCGGGTTCGTAGGGTTTTGGGGTTCGGTTCTTCACAGTGCACCGCTCACTGGTCCTATGCGGTCGTTGGCTCAAGCAGTACTCACTGGGGTACGGTATGCCCGTAAGCCCTGTTCTGGCTTCTCTTGACCATGCAGTGAAGCAGAGGGCGAAGTTCCCGGACTTGAAGCCCTCGGTGAAGCTCGCATAGTTAGGCACACTTGGAATCGAGCCAAGTTCAAAACTCACCCTTCAAGATCCGCTAGGCTTCCTTCTGAGCCTCCGGCTGCAGCAGGGACTCGCGAACGATTTGAACCTGGGCTTCCCGACCTCGCGGCAACAACCGGAACAGCAGCAGCGGAGCACCCGCAGCAATAGAAAAATCATCATCACCGACCATCGGCATGTACGTGAAAAAGAGGACGACGTACAAGAACCTTGACCATGAGTTTAAGCAGAGGAAGAGCATTTCTCGAAACGACAAAAGGAGACAGCAAGACTCTTGCCCACATCATCGCCGGCACCGTTTGCGTCACCACTACTATCAGAACCACGTTCGTCATGTCATGGCCATTGCCCCAGCCAGTATTGTACTCAGAATACCGTATACCTCACTGTCCTCATTCTCTACCTCTTCGTCCTCCTCATCCCCCATCCACTTCGTCGTTCCAATCATCATTCTCTCATCCTCGTCATCATCACCAACCGTATCACCGACATCAGCAAACAAAACACGAAGAAGACAAAGATGAGGAAGACAAAGTCAAAGTGCCGTACTTCGGAACTCAACACGAAGAACCCAGGTGGAAAGCACCCACAGGCATGCATAGCAACTCGCGACCAAGCGAAGAAGCTTTCTTGCTGTCAGCTCAGGCCATGATTTCTGCATCGCACCGTGGTGCTGAGCCAACGAGTTTACCTGGATCACATCCCAGCTGCCTTCGAAAGAAGGGCTTCCATCAAGTCAGAATGTCAAGCCGACATCAAATGAAACAGCTAAGCCTCCGGGACCACCAAGCCAAGGCGTGTGGGCTCAGTTGGAGACGTCTCCGCACACTTCGCGGTCAGACAACGAGTTTGTTAGGTTCTTGCATCCTTGCCACTGGTATGTGAGGCATGTAAGTCTTCTAGAAAACCAGCTTGAACCCTAGGCCCTAGGGCCCTAGACCCTCCACACTTCACAGCTCAAGCCACGATCGCTCATCCGGAGCTCCACAAGGCTCAGAGACGTCTTCTCTCCACAGCCGAAGGCTGCTCCGACAACGAGTTTTGCAATGACATCACAGCCTTCTGGAAGCCAAGAACGCACAAAACGTCATCGGCATGAAAGCGCCGGGAAGAAGAAGCAGAGATACATGTCAATGGATGTGGCAAGCCTGATAGAAATTTGGACTGTGACAGAGATAGGAATATAAATGAGGGATGGCAGTCATCGTGATGACGGCGAAAACGACAGCATGTACAATTCGACATGAACCCAAAGCTTGACTTGTGAAGTGAAGCCAAGTCATAGGAGTTGGGGTTCTTGCAGTGAGCGTATGAAGTTAGGGCTGGGGTGCTTCGGGAACAGCCGCGACGGTTGAACAACAGTCCCTATGTCGTTGCCGAAGCTGAGCCAGGACACCGTCGCCGTTCACAGGCAGGGTCAGAGAAATCGCCGTGGGGCTGGGCACAGCAGTCTGTGCCTTCACGGGAAGAACCTGCGGTTCGGATGCGGAGAGGCCTAGGGTTCAGGGCTTCGGGGCTTTCAGAGTCTTGAGGTTATTTGTTTAGAACGTAAAGGCTTGCAAGTTATCTTTACAGTTTACGGTGAGAGTCTTGAGGAAGTGTTTAGCATGTAAAGGCTTGTAGGTTCCTTTCAACACTTGCACGGTTCGCGGTGTAGACTTGCCTGGCATGCCATCAACCTGGACGCGTGAAAACCCACGTGACCTGGTTTCGGAACGTTGCGTTTAGGGCTGAGGGGCAAGACGCCTATACCCTCGATTCAGCCCTGCTTCACCACTGAGGCTCAAAGTATGGAATACTGAAACTCGAAGCCAGAACTGAGCGGGAACCCTTAAACTGCAACCCTGAACCCTGCACCCACAACTCAATAACGAAAAGATACAAAAGGTCCTAAGCCCTAGAGTACTCTCAATGACTCGAACCAGGAGGTAGGGGCCTTCTGTGACGCGGCATGCGCACTCTTTGGTGACAGCTGGCCGAGTGAAATCGTCTCCTGCAGTTGTCTTCTCACGGGGTTTGCGTTTAGGGTTGCGGCCCTAAAAAGATCAGGGTCATAGAGCTCCAGGGTGTGGGGACTTCAGGGTTCTAGCCCTTAAGTCCTGATGCTATTCTGATAGTTTTTGCTCCACCTGCTTGATACATGTGCCGTCTTCCGTTCCCTTCATCTGCTTCTGTCGGACTTCCCACTCGCGACGAAGAGCCCCGGAGCATCTCTTGATATGATTGTGGGTATGTCACATGATCTCACCATTACATGAACACGCCATGGAAGATGCGGAAAGCAAGCAAAGCAGCCAAATGGCACTGAGATCGAAGACAAAGGCATTGAGTAGTACGACGAGAAGAGCGAGGACCATGAACATGATGAAGGTGTGATGGCAGAGGAAAGGTATGTTGTGGCGGTGTCGAGTTGATGATGATGATTGTAGCTAGCGACTAGTGGTGACGACGGCGATGGCAGGGCTGACGAGACTGGTTACTTCGGAAAGCTGGTGACATAAATGTCGGAAGGTCTCAAAGTACAAACCAGTCGGCCGTCGAAAGGATTATGCAAACCATCCGTTCGTTGTAAAGCACCTTCTCAAAAGCACGGAGATAAGGGGTGTGTGGTCTTCACACGTTGTGGACGCATGCGTGCTTCAACCAGCAGGTTTGCTAGTTAAGGCCCGTGCAAGGACCAAAACTCTAGATGCTATTGCAGACATCTCACCACATCAGGGTGCCAAGAAGCTGCAGGTTTACATTTTGCGAGATCAGACCAAAGTCCATGGTGCGCACGACCTTTATCAGAGAACCTAGCCCCAAGCCCTGAACTTGAAGGTTCAATAAACCGAGGCCGCGCATCCCAGCTGCCCAAGACACAACCTTTAAGCCTAAAAAAATCCCAACCCTATATAAACCCTACACCCTAATCCGGATGCGAAGTCTCCCGCTACCCCCAAAAAAGGCCCACAAACCACACGACCGACCGGGCGCTGAGGTGCAGGCCACAGAACCCATGCGCCCAGGAGGCCTGGCAAAGTGCTCTAGGGTTAGAGCTTTAGGGCTTTAGGGCTTTAGGCCTTTAGGGTTTAGGGGTTCAGGGGTTTAGGGTTTAGGGGTTGGGATTTAGGGGTTTTAAAGGCAGTTTAGGGTTTGGCGCCGAGGTACTTGAATCTGGGGTTGGGGTGTTGTTGAGGGTGTTGAAACTTGACCTTCGGGCTCCATGCTTAGATAAGCCAGGAGATTGACCTTCGCTGCCCGGGCTCAAGGCTTGCTATTGCAATGTGTTATCGGAGCACAGGTTGGTCCAGTGGAAACAGTTTGAAGTTCGAAGCCATGGGGATACTTGAATGCCTTCACACACTCAAAAACAACAGGGAAGGAAAGTGGCAGATTAAAACTCTTGACCATCCGGTACTTAGCGGATTCGGCTGTTTCGAAGGACATTGGCAAGTTCACACAGATCAGCAACACTAACTTATTATAGATGTAATATAGTATACCCCAAACCCTATTCTAATTGTTAAAGCCCCTACATTAACCCGACAACCTGCGTGATGCCCCCTCAAGCTTGTGGACGTCTAGGATCGGCGGAAGCGGACTTTTCCTTCGCTTCCCTTAGCGAGTGATAGCTGCCACCCATCGCACTCCACTTCGGAAGCTTGAAGATTTACCGAAAGAGCCCAAAGGCAACGGTCCTCTCAAAGGGAGGGGCTGAATAGAGCCCTGCTGGAGTCACATCCTCTTTCCGGACTTCCGTTTCAAGACATTGCGAACCTCGTAGTCAATCAACTCTTTCTCGACCAGGCGCAACAGCAAGTCTCTATCTGTCATCTCTTTGAAAGACCCGTCCTGGAAACCAAGCCAAGCCGCCGCTGATGACAGCACACCAAGCTTGGGACAAATTGCGCCAGTGGCTGCTGCAGACTGAGCCCAGGAGAACCAACTTCCGCTTGAAATTGCGGCCCCTTGCCATGACGCCGCCCAGGAGCCAGCTGCAATGCCAGCTCCCTTGAAGCCCAAACCATAGAGCAGAGCCGTGGGCCCAATAGCTACAACAACCCCGGTGCCAGCGACTAAGGCCCACCTTCTGCTGCCGTCGAGGCTGTTCAGCCGTGCCACTGCGATTGCCCGGACTTCCTGATCCACCAGACCGAAATGAAGCACGTCTAGCACCAACTGTTCATCAGCGGTGATGACCGCACACCTGGTGGGTTCCAGGGCCAGCACCGGCCATTTTCGTAGCAAACGGGGCCTTCTTGAGGATCCGAATGAGCCAATGTCACGATGTGCCAGTCGCCATGCACCCACAGCTGCGGCCATGGCAGTAACTGACTTGGCCATCTTGGCACGGCTCAGTAACATCTTTACAGTCGGAAGCACAGGGAGGATGCGAAATGTTGGCAAGAGCTTTGTGAGTTGATCCTGACAGCATCACTCGCAATCTGTCAACGAATTGTTACACCCAAACACATTCAAATTATTGTTCTATCGTCGAGGCTGTAGTTCTGTCACATGAAATGGCCAACTTGACGTGACCGATGTGGCGACGATGATGATTTCAACTTTCAACCCGCCAATGGGCGGTGCAAGGCCTCATTTCGAATCACTTCAGTTGGAAAGTTTGCCAACATGTAGTTGATCCCATGCCAGGGGTGAACAGCAAGAGATCAAACATGTAACGCCTCTGACTAACGCCTCTGACAAAGCAACATTGATGCCTTACAGATAAGCCGTGTATTGTCCTCGAGGCTACTTTTGATATGTGCGTTGGTATAGACAGAAGTAAGGCTACGCGTACATTTTCACAACAACAGAAGCTTCTGACAATGGCGGCATTCAATTCTGAGAGTTGCTCCATACATGCTACTCAGACGATTCCGCTACTCAGAAGAATACCTTATCATTAGTCGGTGGTGGTGATGACGCTGTGGTTATTGTTGCTGCTGCTGCTGCTACTGCTACTGCTACAGCTACATCTACTGCTGCTTCTGCTTCTGCTTCTGCTGCTGTTGCTGCTGCTGCTTGTGTCGGGCTCGGTTTTCGTGCCGGTGCCAGTGTCGGCGCAGGTGTCGTGGTCGTAGCGGTAAGGGTAGCGGTAGTGGTAGTGCTTGTGGTTGTGCTGGTGCTTGTGCTTGTGGTTGCGCTTGTGGTTGCGGTTGCGGTTGTGAATGTGGCGGTTTATGCTGTTGTTGCTGACAGTGTTGTCGTTGGTGTTGCTGTTGTTGCTGCTGCTGCTGCTGTTGCCGCTGCTGTTGGTGTTGTTACGGTTGCTGCTTCTGTACCTGTTGCTACTGTCGCTATGGTTCTTTGATGTGAGCAGAATTACGTGTATATATTGCTATGCCAGTGCCATTGTCGTCAATAATATGACGTCATGGTTGTAGCGGAATGCTGTCAGCATTGCTGCTGTCGTCATCTGACTTGTCTTTGCCACGGCAAACTTGTGTGGTGTGCTGCCGTCGTGGAAACCTTTTTATACAATGCCTCTGGGAGATTAACTGCTCAGGCAGCCCCAGCCTCAAGCTACTGCAAGGCGAAGCAGGAGGTCGTCGCTCCTCCTGCCTGGGTTCTATCTGGGTAGTGGTCCAGACGTGGCGTCCCTTTCTGGTTGCTTCAACAGAGGTGATTAAGTATTAGTTTGAAGCTCGGCATAGGAAAGCTCGCACACCGCAAATATGTGCATATACACACATGTGACACATATGTGCTTTTTGTGCGAGTATCTGTGTTTGTATTGGCTGATGCTGCATGACAATGTACGTACGTACATACATACGTACATACATACATAGATACATACATACATACATACATACATACATACATATATGCATACATCCGTACATACATACATACGTACGTACATACATGCATACATGCATGCATGCATGCTTATGTTCGCCTATCGATGAATGCATGCATACATACGTACGAACATGCAGGTACACATACATGGTATGACATGCATGACATGATATGACCTGCCATGAGGTGATGCACATATCTACGAAGCGGTCTGGCCATCCTCAACCAGCGGCTACCGGAACTCTCCGGAAACAGAACGTGAACTCTGAAGCGCTAGCCCGAATCCCAAAACCTTAAGGCCTGGGATCCTTCATTCCCAATCTCCGCATGACTGGGGGCAGAGCTTGGCGCCGGGACGTGAGGCCTTGGAGGGCGTGTTTGGGTCGGGCCTGGATGTGCTTGCTCCAGCACTGTTCCATCGTACCGATCCGATTCGTCGGGATTGACGACAGCCATTCCGAAGTTTTCGGGCTGATTAAGGTGTTGAAAGTCATGGCAAAGGCGGTGATGATGATGATGACTGACGACCGATGACTGGTGATCGATGTTGAAAGTGACGGACTGAGAGTCAGCACTATTGCTACTGAATGTGAGTTTGCACAGCAGCGGCATCATCAGCAGCACCACCAGCACCAGCAGCCACAGCGTGGTAGCAGCAGCAAGCAACAACATCAATCGGAGCAGGGGCGACGAGGTCGGCAGAAGTAGAGGTGGTGTGGTGGTATCCGCCGTCACCGCCGTAGCGCGCGATTGAAACTGGAGGCTTTGAGGCGCTCTGAAGTTTTGAAGTTAGGGTTTAGGGTTTAGGGAACGGTATCTGGGGTTTGACCTTTGGTGTCGCGAGATAGGACATGGGCTGTTGCCGGATCAGACAATGCTCAACCCCGACAGCCTCAAAACCCTTCGTTCATCTGAATTTGGCATCTAGAATCAACAGATCAGGCGTGAATCCCGAAACGCAAAACACCAAACCCCCAGAACACGAAAACCCTGCGCCTGAACCCAAAAACTCCATGCCTGAAAACCTCTATGTGCAAAAACCCTAGACTTACCTTTGGTTAGTAGGGAATGGAAGAATGGTAGTAATAGTAGTTATAATTGTACCCCATTCCTCCATTCCCCACTAATCAAAGGTAAGTAGATCCAGAAGGCCTGAGGTCACCACCGGCCCTGGCTTTGCAGTGAGGCTCCCCGTCTTGAGGAGGCCGCTGCCTTCCATCTTGAAGAGGCCGCTGCCTTGTCGTTTCGGGGCTCTTAAGAAGTGGTGAGGGGAGGGGGGTGAAGGGGCCACCTGCCACGGGTGACCAGGAATCTTGCAGAAATCCTGATTGTAGCGTACAACCATAGGATTAGAAGATCATCACGACATCCCGAAGCCTCAACCAAGCCCTAAGGCCCTAAACGCCTAAACCTGAAACCCCGAACCTTCCCGGAGAGCCACTGCCCCTCTTGGTCCTCTGCTGGGCGCCGTGTGCGTTTGGGGCACCGTCTTCAGAGCCCATGGCCGGGGGGCCACCGGAGCGCCTCTGGAGTTTCTGGGCTGTAGACTGTATATGGGGTCCGTGGGTGTAGAGCTTTTGGGAACTTGGGTTTTAGGGCTTTGCTTCGGGTGTTTTTTTGTAAGGTGAGGTGGGGGGGCTTGAGGAATGTTACTGTGGGGTAGGACTCTGGTCGCAAAGAGCTTCGAGGGTGGACTTCTGGGGAGCTCGGTCTCTTGCGACGGGATTGGCGAGGGCTCAAGGCTTCGGGTTTAGGGGTGCAGAGTTTAGGGTTTTCGGGTTTAGGGTTTCGGGGTTGAGCGTTTAGGGTTCAGGGTTTAGGGGTCTAGGATTTGGGGGAGTTGCAGTTTTGCCAGATCCTCGAAACCAAAACCCGAGACGCCCTAAATCGTACAACCACCATGCAACGTAGACCATAGAACCCCCAAAGGAAAACTCAAGACTCTGTCATTACGTTACATTACCCTGTAGTTTAGTGTCTTATGACCTTATGTTTCGTGATCTTTCCTTATACCACAATATACTGTATGCTATAAGACAGTATGTGACCCGAAGCAACCTGAGAAATCTCCTTCAAACCTTTATATCCAAGGGTAAAAGGAGGGACCCTTAATAAGGACCCCTAGGCATATACCCTTAATATAGCTATTATATACCCATTATATAACCCATTATAGGGTAGGAGTCCCCATTAAGGGTCCCTCCTTTTCCCCTTGGATTATATGACCCTCTGGCTCGTCAAGACCCACCAAGAATTCCCCAGGCGTCAAGATCCGAAATCAGAGGCATTGGATTTCAAACTCCCCAGAGACTCCAATATCCCTTAAATAAGGACTACAGCTTACCTTATAGTTTATAAAAGTAGGATCCCTTATACTATTTAAAAATTATACCTTACCTTATCGTAGGATCCCTAATATCATTTAAGGACTATTCCCTAATTAAGGGATGTCGGATCTTAAACTCCAGTCCGCCAGGTGCCCGGTGCCTGCGCCGAGACTAAAAGGCGCAGCCGCACACGACGGCTGAGTCTGTAGCCCGGAGGAGAGGCGAGTGTTTGGGGCTGTGGGGCTTGGGAATCAAGGGTTTGGTTTTATAGGTTTCTGAGTTTAGTTTCTGGACTTTGGGGCTTGACGCGTTGAGATCATGGTCTGATCGAGGGTGTCCGGCTTTACGAGTTTACGCGCCGACGGGAAACGCCTACAGCCTTGACCACTTAATCTTTTCGGGCGTTGAGACTCAATCCGGCGTTCGGGGTGCAGAGTTGTCTTTTTGGGACACCAAGCTTCACGCTCTTGAGGCTTGCTTCTTGAAGCTGTTAGGGTGCTTTTACTCACGGTGTTATACCCGGGACGCCCTTGATCAGGGATCTGTATTGGACGGCTTCAAGGTCTAGTCTAGGGCAGGCGAATCGCACACGAACGCCAGCCCAAAATGTTGAAAAAGCATGAGGGGGGTTGTCAAAATTAGGGTCCCTTTTTGGGTCCCTATCAATCCGCCCCAAACCACCAACCTGAAACCCAAACCCCTGAAACCAAAATCGAAAAGGCACAACATGCTCTCGGGGTCGCACGCCCGAGGGCGCTCTCTGCTTCGGGGGTGATCGCGCCTAGATCGTCGTGGGCTTCGTGCCGGCTTGGGAGCTTCCTACGAAAGGCATTCCGAAAGGATGACCGTAGCAAAAGCATGCACATAACCTAAACCCTCAACCCTAATCCCTAAACCCTCAACCCTAATCCCTAAGCCCTAAACCCTCAACCCTAAACCCTAAACCCTAAACCCTCAACCCTAGTTTGTTTACGGTTAGGGTGTACGGTTCGAGTTGGACGGCGCGCCGGTCCCTTGGGCCGCGAACGTGCGGCCTGTCACGATACCTATGCAGTCTTTCCTGTTTATAGATATGCTCGAGGCTATAGCTTTTAAAGCACGAAGTTACTTTGTGTATGTGTACATCTGTACATGTGTGTATATACATATACGTGTGTATATATATATATATATATTCTATATCATACATGTTAGATATTAGGTATTGGATACTAGGTATTAGATATTGGGTATTGGAAGTAAGATTCCAGGTATTCTAACAATATGCAGACTTAGACTTCGCAGCGCCGAAACGTTAAGATAATCCAAGAACTGAAATTCGGTCAACGACTGCGCCGATCATAGCAAATCGAAATCCAATCGGAAGAAAAGATGTAGATACCCTCGGACGAAGAACGTAAACTCCTCAAATTCACTCTGCCCCGCATTCAACTCCAAACCCCTGAAACCCCGTGAACCCTATACTCAAGACACCCCCAACCCTCAGGCGCGTGCGGTACTCGCAGGGCTGGGCACCGCCGCAGGAACCGCGGCCGAAGCCGGCTGCGCAAAGCGGTATTTGCTTTGGGGCTCTTTGGATTCTCTCCCATTACCCTTAGAGTTTTGGCTTTGAAGTCTACTTGGAGGATCATGAACTGGGGCTATAAGGAATTATATCTGTAGCTACCGTACTTTGACCCCAATTACTAAGTCCCATGATCCTTCAAGTAGGATTTGCCCCCACCAAGACCCTCCGAAGAAAGGCTCCGAACCCTCAGGCACTCTCCGGGACGGTTCGGCGCCTGTCGCAGTGTAAACGTCGGTGAAATTCGGCCTGTCGGGCCAAATTCAAGGGCCCGAGATACAGATATACATACATATATATATATATATATATAACTCTCTCTCTCTCTCTCTCTCTCTATCTATCTATATCTATTTATGTATCTATCTATTGTATGTATACAACATGTGTATATGTATGTGTGTATATATATATTTACAAACACAAGCTTCAAGTTTACAGATCAGAGGTCCGAGGCTCAGAGGTCTAGGATCACCGACGATCGTAATATGACGGTCTTGAGCTGAAGCCAGTCGCAAACTCAGGTTTATATTTGTTTTTTGAGCTCCTTTTCTCCAAGCCCGAAGGTCCGAAAAGGCTGCAAAGCCGAGTTTATGGGGTTTAGGGTTTAGGGATGGCCCTTCGGGATGAGTACAGCGTCCGGTGCAGCGAAGGCTTCGAAGACATCGTTGAGCTTCGAGATTAGGGTTGCAGGATTTAGGGTCGACCGTTTAGGATGCAACTGCATGTATATCCATACGTCCGCGTTTATATTAAGATTCCGATGTGGCGCTCCTACTGATCGCCGATTTGGTCCGGTTTCCCTGCACCCTCTGGCCTATAAGCGGTAAGGACGACCGAGACAGCTGCGTCGTAGGCCTGGGCATAGCGCCGGGGCTGATTACAGTTATAGTATAGCCCAAACACCTATTCCAATTGTTAAGGCCCTTAGATTACAGAACTCTACTATAATCCCCTATAGTGATTGTCGTGAGGGTTCAGCCCCACGGCCGCAACAAGCCCTTGACATGACAAACCGTAACCATATTATAGTAATAGTAATAGTAATAGTAATATAGTAATAGTAAAATAGTAATAGTAATAGTAATAGTAATATAGTAAGATAGTACTAATAAACAGCTTACGACATCGGAAGGCTCCAAAAAGGAAGGTGAGCCTGAGGGTTTGGGTGCGAGAGCTTGGGAAGCGGAAGCCGTTTCCAGGTGTTTATGTTTGCTAGGCATTCAGGCTCAAAGACGACGCATTGCTCAGGCAAAGCTGTCTGATCTGCTATCCGAGCATACCTCTCCGCTTACATACACATGCACCTGTGCATCACCTACGCTTGTATGCATACCAGGTTCAGTTGTTTACTGCCGTCTCGAGGTCTACATAACCGTTTCACCAGCACCATGGTTATCACGAGAAACATCGCCACCACCAATGTCTAAATACTGTCAACATCATGACCACCATCATCACTGGATCAGAAACACCGCGCCAATGATCAACAACACCACCACTAGTTCCAGTATTCTTACCACAACCACCACCACGCCATCACAACATCAAATTCATCACCGTCATCAGCAGCGACGGTGCAACCATAAGAAGAACAACAGGAGCAGTGGCGGCAATCAATATCAACATCACCATGGACATCACCATCGTCATCATTCATCATCATCTTCTTCTTCATCGGCATCGTCGGAGTGGGCATCAATACCCTCATACGGACAGCAATACCCCACCGCATGTGGCTCGGCCCTGTGCCGGACGTTCAAGGTCATGGACCTGTAACCACCTGCAGCAGGGCATAGTTTGGTCTCTGCTTCGAGGTCTGCACTGCCTGGACCCTAAACCGTGACAGCCCTTACCGTTGGTTAGTAGGGAATGGAGGAATGGGGCACAATTATAACTACTATTACTACCAGTCTTCCATTCCCTACAAACCAGCGGTAAGAGCCCAGACCCGTCCGACTTGTGATATCCAGACGGCTACCGCCGACTACCCCTCGAGCGAGGTGGAAAAATCAAGCTGCGTGCACGAATTGCTTGCGTTTCTGGGGCTCCAGGCAACGAGCTAAAAAGTGCAGGGTTTTGGAAGCTTACGAATCTACCTGAGAGGTCTGCAGGTTCGCCTCACTCTAATTTCCCCAACCAACACTCCACCTCAAAGACTGAGCCGATACTATGGGTGTTTGCATACTGCCGCTCCCTTGGCTGCAGCTGCGCGTCTCAGGCTCTGGTCGGAGGAGAGCAGGAGCAGTACTACGGTTGATGATATAAATCCTGCATTACCCATAATAAGGAATATGCCGTAATTCCCATAGTTTAGGGCCATTAGGGTCATGCAGGATTTATATCATCAACAGTAACAGCCGTAGTGGCACCGGCAGTACTAGCAATTCAACGTAATGTGAATCACTAATTGGTGATCGTCCAAGCAGGCATAAAACAAGACTTTGTCGGCGACGTGGTTGTGAGAGGGTGAAAATGTGCGCAAATCACGGAAGCAAGCCGACGAAGCCGAAGCGCCTTGCGGCGAAGCCGGCGGAGGGCTTGCGCCCACACCTGGGATCCCAGTTTATGAGCTTCCCATGGGCACTTGCAAGTTTAGGATTAGTGCTCATGCAGGGCTCCAGATTTACGTTAAATGTTTAGAGCGCAGGGCTGGCAGCTTAAAGTTTGGCATTGACGGCTCATGGTCTTCAGTGGAAGCTGATGAGAAGTTGGCTCGGGCAACGCAGCCACGTCTAAGTCCACTGCACGTCGCTACTCGGCTTGCCTGCTACTGATGAGAGCCGACTACAAGGCCATAGTAGTGTGAGGTCCGTTCTCCACCGTCCCTGCTCGGAGGCGTGAGGCGACCGTCCCAATCAGCTCCTGCCGATTCAGAATATCTCCGCCACCGACAACCTCACCAAGCTTGAAATCCGCTGGATGTGAACCATGCTGTTAAACTCCGATCATCGCACTCATGCTGAGTTGTGGGAACTGCTCTGCTGCAAGAAAGAGTTCGGTGTGCCAGATGGCAATCGACATGCCCGCAGCATCGGAGCCACGACGGCAAGTCAGAGCTCGTCTGAGTTTCGTGCATGACGGGTTTACCAAGCAGGTTAAGACCGTGGCATTCTCTTTGGCGGTATGATCCAACATGCAGATTCTCAGATCTGGGAAGTCTCCTTATGGAACCTCTCGCATCATCTTCAGCATTGTGCGAATGTCCTGGAGTCGCCAGCCGTCATGCTGGACAGGGCTCTCCCCCGACTCACAGGAAGTCGAATCATGGACCTCACACTCGGGTCCTTCGTGCAGAAGCGCTTCAACAATGTGCCGATATGGTTCGGCCAGTACCGAAAGATACTCGGTCTCCGGGCTATCGAAGAGATGATGCTTCAGAACACTTCCCAGCATTCCTCGGTCGGTCCACTTCTCAAGCACAATTTCGCTTGCTTCCAGGCCCTCGGCTACGTGGAAGGTTGGAGCCAAGGGAGGCAGTTCCACTGCATGCACGCCAGAGTCCTGAAGAAAGTCTCGTGCCCGACTCAGTGGGGTTCCATTGCTCCCAAGCGAGAGGGCCTCGTCGATAAAGTCGTAGAGTCCCTCAGAGGTCAGCTCAGCCGCTTCAAAATCGATCGCAACCAGACGGATTCGAGACCGTAACGAGCCCTGCTCCTCGGCGTCGACGGCTCCCACAGGGAGGACCATGACGTTGGAGGCCCACAAGTCATTGTGCCGGACACCGTGCTGCAACAAGCAGCAGAGAAGATCCACCGTCGCGACCAGAAGGTCAAACACATCTTGTTGCTCTCTCATTTGCTTCATATGAGACAGCAGGTCTGGGCCATCCAATTGCTCCATCGCCACCAAGCTCCAGAGCGGGCGCCGACCCGACTGGTGGCCTACCAGCTTGGGCACGCAGGCAAAGTGCGGAGCAAAGAGTTGCAGAAACATGGCCTGCTTCAGGCCAAAGAGCATGGGCGTGATCTTCCGCACGATGCCTTCTGCCCCTTCGGCCCCTTTAGCTACCTGAACTTGCTTGCTAAAGGCCGCGCCGCCCCAGAGGAAGCCAGACTGCGCCAGAAGCTGAAAGTCCTTACCAGTCTCATCCCGGAGCTTGAACTGGGGCACCGATAGGTCCGTGATGCGAACTGCTTGCCAGTCGCTCCACTTGGGTCCCACACAAAGGTAGTAATTCCCCTTGTACATCGGCGCCACGTGCTGGAAGTGGATCTCCTTACAGACATTGGGGAAGAAGGGGATCATTCGGACCCTTCAGAGTTAGGGTGCAGAACGCCCACAGGCCTTGCAGGGTTCAAGGCTCCAAGTGCCGAGGATCCAACTCAAAAAAGCCAAAACACGTTAGGGTCTGGGGTTTGGGGCTTGGGTCGGTTTAAAGTTTAAGGTCTAGGGCTTACTGGATTCTTGTTAAGGGATCGAATGTAAGTTACCATAACTGGGATCTATAGTAAATAATATTGTGTCCTTGTTTTGGCAACATAAATTCAATCCCTGAACAAGAACCCAGTTTAGGGCCTAAGTCACAACCTCCGAAACCCACAAATCTTCTGCTTCGAAGCTTCCAGGGCTGCCACGAGCTCCTCACGGCGGTAGCGCCGCCCATCGTCCATGCCATCAGCCGCGCTCTGCAGCTCCTCAACAGGATTTTGGCTTATTATAGGGGCCGAAATAATTGGGAGTTCCTTATTACAATTATAGTACAATGGACCCCAAACCCTATTCGGCCCTATTCTAATAATAATAATTATTTTTATTATTATTATTTTTATTAATATTATTATTATTATTATTAAGGTCCCTATAGTACGGTTTCGGGGCTTCGGGCTCAAGCTTTAAAGTCGGGGTTCGGGGCCTGCGCACAACAAGATGACTTTTGAAACCGGCGCGCCAAAAAAGCCGGCGAATGTCGAATCCTGAAACCCACGCCCTCGTGCACAGAACCGCTCGTTTCCTCGCTCTCCCCGTCGGTGGGCCCGACCCATTCGAGCACCAACGCCGTGGCCGCCAGTTGGCGCAAGAGCCCCACAACCAGTGGAAGAGAGGCCTCGGTTTAGGGGTTTACTTGGGGGATCATGGGACTTAGTAAGTTATAAGTACCTTAATTAGGGTTATATGTACCTATAACTATAGTTACCTTACTTACAACCCCAATTACTAAGTCCAATGATCCTTTAAGTAGGGGTGTATCAGTCAGGCGTTGGGCTGGACGCTTAGGGCTAGGTTCAGGAGTTTAGGCGTTTCGGGACTTAGGGTGCAAAGAGGTTTAGGGTTAAAGGCATCTCGACTTCAGAGTTTGAGAACGGTTCAGGTTTTCTGCTTTCGGGTTTGGGGCTTAGGCGTTCGGCCGGACGACTGCGATTCACTGCAGTTTCCTCTTCTCGATTGCGCTGATGACCTCTAATTTGATCACGATGCGGATGACGATGATTATGATGATGATGAGGATGATGATGTGGCAATTGCGGCATGGTGATGATGGTGATGGTGATGGCTTCGACGCCGATGTTCGAACTGACGCCGAATGTTACGATGAGATGGAAAGGGAAAGGGGCACCGCCTTCCTTTACTCTTCATGGTCGTTCGTGTCGTCGTGCTTGCAGACTTGCCCCGAAAGATGCAGCATCGCCCTACTATGACCACCTGCAAGCCAACACTCAGAGGCAACAAGCAAACGGACCCACATCTCGTCGCAGGCCCTGAGACAAACTCCAAATTGAAGGACTTGGTAAGTAGGGTTATAAGTACCTTAATTGGGGATATAACTAATTATCTCTGTAGTTACCTTACTTGCAACCCCAATTACCAAGTCCCATGATCCTTTAAGCACGCAATGGCAACCCAGAGACGAGTCCTGAGCAGCCAAGGAGGAGGGAGAGGCTGGAGCCGAGGGCAAAGACGACGTCTGCCTGCAGCGCTTGCTTCTGCTTGTCTAACCAATGGTTTTGGGGGTTTCCTGGGCTCTTTAGCTCCTTATTTAATAGGGATTATCATCATCCTTGGCTCCTTAGCTCCCATAATATCAATGGTTAGTTGTTCTCAGACACGGCGATTGGAAATCATGGCCCATGCGCATGTCCTTAATACCACAAACTACACCTAGAACAAGTACACTACCTGGATTGAAGCCTACACGAGGTAACTTAAGTCAGATCAATGTGCGTGAAGTCACATCACTGGTGTAAACGCTGGGAGAGGCTGAAGTCACCTCATAGCCAAAGAAGTCACATCAGTGCTTCTTACCATGATTCCCAGACCCAATCTAAATGCTAGGAGAAATCCTAGTGCAAGAAATTGCAGAACATGGATTTCGATCCGACGCGCAGGCATTTCAAGCACCATGATTCAGCACCGTGTCTTTTACGTCGCTGATCCATGTAAATGCTATGGCACAGTCCCCACTCGATTGCGTAAGCACCCTCTCAAGACAAACATCACATTCGTGATAGTGCAACCATCATTCACATCATCGTCGTCCTCACTGTGCCTATCAACAATAGCATCAATATCATAATATTCTCCGTAGCATCATCCTAATCACCAGTACAGCACACACTGCATTCGCAACAGAACGAGGTGCAGAAGCACTGGTCGTCGCCGTCGTCGTCACAGTGGCCTTCATGATCATGATGATGACGATGATGACGTTGTTGTGGCGGTGGTGGTGGTGGTGGTGGTGGTGGTGGTGGTGGTGGTGGTGGTGGTGGTGGTGGTGGTGGTGGTGGTGGTGGTGGTGGTGGTGGTGGTGGCGGCGGCGGTGTCGGTCGTGGCGGTGGGTGGGTCTGAATGTTCTCATGCTTTCAACCATATTCAGCACGACCGAGAGCCGCCTTGAGAAACTCGTTCCGCCCCACGTCCAGCCACAAGCTGGCGCTGGCCTCGCAGCTTCAAGCTGAAAGCTGCAGTATGTGATGTATATATGCATATATGCACAGTCAATCTATAATATATACATAGAGAGAGAGAGACGTATGCACGTACGTACATACATACTTACATACATACATACCTACATACATGCATACATATCCACACATGATACTTCTCGTGTCACAGATTGTAGGCCGGCTCTGCGTGCATCCAACTACTATTCGTTTCATCTTCGTTTTCTTACTCGTTTTTGCACGTGACATTTGACTTTAAATGCTGCTGTCGTATTCAAAGCTCGGAGGTCGACAGTCCATCTGATCGTCAAGCCGACACACCCACTCTCCCAAGTAGCCCTCGTGGTTCGTAGGAGTAGAGAAGGCATCCCCGGGCCTCGTGCCGGTAGTCCTCCAGACTCGGGAGCCTCGAATGGAGGCTTCAGGACACTTGGGACTTCGGGCTTCCATGCAAGGTCTCGCCGCGACTAAAAACAAGTTGCACGGAGCAAACTCTGCCACTATCATAAGATAATGTAACATATTTTATTTCTGTATTATATATTACTATATTATATATTGCTATATTATACTTTATAATATATATATATATATATATATATATATATTACTATATTAGGTTTTATATATCAGAGAGTCAGGCCTCAGGCGCTCCTCGGCCCCAAAGTTCAGGAAGTCGCGGAGGCTCCGCAGCGCTGGGAGCGCCCACCTGGGGTTCTTTCACAATTAGGGTCCCTTTCTTGGGCACCCTAAATACTAGGTGCCGTATTATAATAGGAACCCAAAAAAGGACCGACTGATGTCCGTTGATAATAAAAATAACAATAATGATAATAGTAATACTAATAATAGTAATAATAATAATAATAGGAACCCAAAAAAGGGACCCTAATTTTGACAACCACCCACCTGGGCGCGTAGACGCGCGCGAAGGCGGCCGCCCCGAGGCCCAGAGCTCCCAGGGCCGGCAGGGGCACGGCGTCCTCAGAGACTCTAATGTCCCTTAATTAAGGAATATTCCTTAAATCATATTCGGGATCCTACTATAATTTAAGGTATATTCCATAACTAAGGGATATTCCTTAAATCATATTCGGGATCCTACTATAATTTAAGGTATATTCCTTAATTAAGGGATATTGGAGTCTCTGGGTCCTCGGGCGTGAGCCCGAGCTGGAGGACGCTGCTTTCCCGGAAGAGCTGCTCCTGGTGGAAGAGGTCCAAAAGAGACCTCCACTGCTCTTGCAGCCGTGGCGTCCGAGGCTTCAGCTGCATGGCGGATGCCTGCAGCAGCACATCCAGTCGCTCTCCATCTCCAATAATACTGAAAAGGCCACCCTCCTCGGAGGCTGAGGCCATGTCAAGACTTGCCCAGAGTTTGTGGTGATGGAATGCTTCCTCGTATGCAGGTAGCATTCCGTAGCAGCTGCGAAGCCACTTCTCTTCCTGTCTCTGGATCCCACAAAGGTATTGAAAGGATGGCTCTCTGAGTCGCGACTTTGCCACGGCCTCCAAGCCTTGTGAGCTTAAGTCCTCTGGGATCTGGTCGTTCAAGGCTCGGCACAAAGTCGCAGGCTCCGTGCAAGGGCCCTGCACTCGGTGCCGCCAGAGATGATGGCGCATCATCTTGTCCTGAATACTGCATGCCCCAGCAGATCACGATCCCCCCACCTTCAAGGGCCCGAAGACCCGACAGGACCCGACCCCGACCTAATGCGAAGACTGCAGGGGTCCTGATCCGTGCTGATCTCTTGCAGGTAGCCTGCCAAGGCCAGGGGCGAGGCGAAGTCCGCCGCGTTGATGGCCGCCAGCGGATCCGGAAGCCAACGGTCCAGGCCCTGTGCACCCCAGTAGACGGGCACTGTTCCGGCTGCCAAGATCTCCCAGAGCTCCGGAGGAGGCCCCTGCCCCCAATCTGCTAGAAAAGAGCTGGCGGAAAGGAGGGCGAAGTTGTAGCGCTGCAAGATCGGGCCCTCCTTCTCCTTCTGCGATGCACCGGCAGCCTCGCGATTTCAACTTCCGGTGAGCCGTCAGAGAGAGAGAGTCAAGTCAGAAAAGCTGTCACGAAGAAAGGCAGCTTGCGAGGGTTCACGGAACTGTTGTCGGTAGATGTGGTGAAAAACTGCCGATTGCTTGTTGGGTTAACAAGGAAAGCAGTGGATTGCAACCTTTCTAACTCGGCAGGTCCCTCGGATCTGCTCCGCCTCTGCAGAACTTCTTCACTGACATTACACCGTCCATCGGCAAAGGATGAGAGTTCTACGAACCGGATGTGGTTCAAATTATGGCCCCTTTTTGGGTACCCTAAATATTAGGTGCCGTAATATAATAGGACCCAAAAAAAACCCTAATTTTGACAACCACCCATATACAGAATGTCCTACGAAAGCAGGGGCCCCCGGCCTGCTTGCGGAGGAGCTCCCGCGCGTGGCGCGTGTTGTACGTCAGGTGGAAGCGACACGCTCCTAGCACATCCACCTGCAAAAACTGCGCCAGAAAGTTGATAAATCGGGCGTCATCGGATGTACAGCTCCTCTGGGCGGAAACGAGCAGCCGCCTCCCGGACGGGCCGGGGGTCAGCTTTGCGGACAGAGCCTCGAGGGTAAAGCGGGTGGGCGTTCGCGGCAGCAAGAGATCGTAGCTCGCCCTGTCCCCGACAACGACAGGCTCTGCCTTCTTGCAGTCCACCTGCATCTGGAGAAGCTGTCCATGAGCGGCTGCCCCATATG